ATGGTTATCACGTGAACTAATTCACGTGATCTTTCTACTACTGCATGGTACATGGTTATCACATGAACTAACTCACGTGATCTTTCTACTACTGCATGTTATTACGTGAACTAATTCACGTGATCTTCATTTTTCTTACTTATACGATGGACCTCTGACAACGTTCATTACACTCACCATAGTCTCGAAGGGATTCATCGCCGACAAACCAACATCAAACATAATGCGCATGTTTTTTAGACAGATTTCATATTTTCCCATCTGCCACAAACATTCCGCACGGATATGAAAAAAAGGCCTTGTCCAGTGAGGGATGATTCCAGGTAATATTTCTAGGGCGTGATCGATGTTGTACAGGGCGTCCTCATAATGTTTATGGTGCATAGCTATGGTTGCTCTTCTCATGMGCTCTTCCATCATAACATCCAATGTCTGTAGGGAAAGATGAAATAAATAAAAGAAGAAAAAATAAAATAAAATAAATGACACAGACAAGGACAGACGAACAGATCCTTGGATAGAGGGACCAACAGACAGACAGACGGGCAGTCAGACGGATGGACGAACAGACGACGGAAGGAGGGAAGAGCAAACACACAGACAGATGGACGGACGAAAACAGACAGACAGACAGACGAATGGACAGACGGACGGATAGACACCATGATTAACAAGAAGACGGACAATCAGACAGAACAACACGATGTCAGAAAACAACCTAAACTAGACACAGTGAAAAATCTTCACCTTATTAAAAATTTATAATTCCAAGAATCAAAAATCTCGAATTATCTGACTTTTCTGACTTGTATCTCAACTGAGTATATGATTGCAACCTATTATACTATATTACTGGGAAATATTTTTTGCTTTAATAGAGACCAGAATTTTAAAACTGAGTCCTAGAAACACAGAAACCAAGATTTATCGCAAATAGCGTAAAAAATAAAAAATAAAAAAATAAAAAAAAATATTTATGAACACGTTACAACCAGCGTAGTTCAGGCGCTAACCCTTCTCTTCAACTTTCCGCTTGACAACTGGGTTTCCTGTAGTCTTTTGACCAAGCAGTATTGTAATTATTTCTTTGAATATCCTATTTTGCCTACAGCTTTAAAAGTTTCAGATTGTGGAGTTCAAAGCAATGAAATCAGATTTTTTAAAATAAATTTTATTTTACGGATCAGAAGTTAAACTACTCCGAAACTTGAGATTTCATCACTTCCTGTTCCTGACTCGCCCACCCTCCCCTCCCCTCAAAATTGATTTGTTGTAGGATATGAAAGATTTTAAAAAGAGCAAGTAAGGAGGCATACTGATTTATCATTATAACATTGGAGCACCATTGAGAAGTGAAATCTCTAGTAATAAGAGAAAGACCAATGATTCCAGTTTCAGTACAGACAAGAGAACGCACGAGGTGACCATCACTTGGTCCCTCATTATATATGTGTACCTCTCTAAATTAACCTTCATATCTATCTACAAAACATAACACAAGCAGAATATACCCAAATACAAGATAAACGAGTAAAATATCGTTGAATCAATGCTTGTTGTTGGAACTGGAATCTTTTCTTCGCCAAACAAACCGTCAGACCGAATGTCAACAACGATAAAAGCGGATTTTGTTTCCTTCATCTACAACATATTCCACTTTTCTCTATTGGATTCTATCAGCTTACCGCCATTTTTCCTGTTCTTTTGAAAGGCTATCCTTTGCTATGGAGGCTTCAAAATCGTCTAAGATTCTTTTTCTGCCTTGTTCTCATACTAAGATAAAGTGTAGCCATCATTTCCGACTTCAGCAGCTCACGTTCCAGGTTCACAAAACACTCTGGAACTGGAATTTTCTCTTCAAGTTCAAGAAAATAATTTTCTAGTTTGTCAGTACATACTTCAAGGTAAGAAACCCTGAACTCATTACTTTATAAGAATTTCAATCTAGCAATTGTTAAATCTTAGAATTTATAAGACCTACCGTCAAAACAAAGTGAAAGTAGATGCGAAATGTGATATGCAAATTAGATCCTGGGTATTGAGATTCCTCTTGTCCAATCGTATTGCTTTGTTTGGACTGACTTCAAGGTATTGTCGGATGGGTAAGTACTTCATGTATGCCTGATTATAATGTCCTGGCGGTATGCTTTCTGTTATCGTGCATGATGACGCTCTCCCATTGTATCCTAGTGTATCCT